AGCTTCTAAAAAACTAATTTCAGCATTGAAATTCCCTTCCATTTTTAATTGCACAATATCCTCATGGTTCAGCTTTGTAGAATACTGTTTTACTTCCATAAGTTATTTTGTCCCATACTCTTTTTAATATATTAACATGCAGTTTTAACCCTGTGGTGCAACAATCCCTGTGAGTTGTCTATTTTTACTCAGAATTTCAAATGTAAATGTTGCTTTAACATTACTATTGGTTATCTCTAATCTCAGTCTCATAACAAAATCTGTCGGAGAGTTCATCCTCTTTTGTCTGTGCTTTTATTTCAAATGTAATTTTTGTATTTTCAAATGTGCAAAGTGGCTGATGATATAATATCTGTGGTGCGTTTTTTTTTAAATAATCCCTGCTCTTCTAAAGAACTTGGTAAAGTCTAATTTTACCATTCAAATAGGCAGGTGAGAGCTTTTGGTGATCAGTAATTTGTACCTTTTCAAAAGCCGCACTGCCTTGCTTTGTCTTGGAATTTATTATGCTTCCCAAGTATAATGTGACATACTGAATAGGGCAGGGGGTGGGGACATTGTCTTCAGCTGACATGCTGTTATCAGCGGGACTGTGTTTCTGGACACAAGATTTCGCAGTCATTGGTTGTCCGAAGAAAGGCTTTCCATCTGAGGATTGGACAAGAAGATGCGTCAATTTGCTGCCCGTCTCCAAGGTACTGGTGATGCTGCCTCCACAAGCTGGCTAACGTCACAGCTCCATCACCCAGCGGGGTGTGGGCTTTTTTCTCCTCTTCTCTGTTTTAATTCTGTATTTGCTTCCTACTGCATTTCTTAATCTGTCTTCTGCCAAATGCTAACAGCATGATATTTTGCAATCATTTAGGTGAATACAAGAAGGACGAACTCCTGGAAGCTGCTAGGTGAGTGCTGCTTAGAATATAAAGCATATTTTGGGGGTGGAAACAGGCGAGGAAAAAGGGATTTTTAAAATAGTAATGTTTTGTCATTCCCTTTCCATGAAATGATGCAAGCAAGCCACTTCATTAGCATAAATCTCTTCAGACTTAACAGTCTGGTACAAATATAAAAGCCTGTTTATGTAATTGAAATCCCCCACTATGGTGGTTATAAGGTTAATATTGAGTTTTTGCTTTAAGCTGCTTAAATCCTCTTTATTGTTTTGTGACTGTTCTTTTTAGGGGCAATTTAAATATTGGAATCTTTCTTTTCTTTTGGTTTTTACTGCTACCATAGGATGTATTTTGAAAATAGGCTTTATCAGAACAGAGCATATGGAAGCCTATACAAAAGGTGTAAAGTTCAGTCATATATTGCAAACGTGCTTTTCATCTTTCCTTCTGACTGCACAAGACCATTTTATATAGACTGTTAACCCTTCTGAAAAATTTCTGGGTATTGGTATGTGGTTGTTTCAAATGTTATGGGCCATATGCTATGAAAATATGTTAAATCCAGAACATTTATTTCAGCAAATGGCTTTCAGAGGATCTGTAAAATTAGATAAAGGAAATATAAAATGAGGTTAAGGAGAGAAATTGAGGTGTTTGTGCATGGTCTTTTGTAATGCATTTAATTGCAAATTTAGTATTCTTTTCAGTATTTATCCTTGGTTTTTAAATATTCGGAAGATTCTTTAGCCATCTGACATTCTCCCTGGCAGAGTACATATTTCAGTATATTATACTTTGCAAAATACTTACTAATGATCAGGATATCAAAGAGCTCTGTCCTTTTTCCTCCCCTTTTCCACAATCTTCTCTTCCCCATTTACAGGAGTGGTAATGAAGAAAAACTGATGGCTTTATTGACTCCTTTAAATGTGAACTGCCATGCAAGTGATGGGCGTAAGGTAAGTTAATGCCTGCTTCATGTTTCAGTTATTCAAGAAAGACCAGTTTAAGCATATTGGTAAACATAAGTGTATAAACCAAGAGAGTGTATGGGGGGAAAACCTGTGATGCCTCTTCACAGTAAAATGAAATGCTGTTATACTTGATACTGGCAGTTGTGACAGGTCAGCAGACGTGGATTTCCGTGTATGTCTTTTAAATGTCAAACCCTGGTGTACATCTAAAATGAAACTTTAAGACCTTTTGTAAGAAAACCAAAATCTACTGTTGCAGATTAATAAAATAAGGGAGGAAAGTTATTGTTCATATTTGAACATTGAGCAAGGTGGTTGATATTCGGCTTTGCTCCTAATGCCCTGCCACAGAGACTGGCACTGTATTGCTATGCTTAACACCTTCTGCATTTTCTTAAATATGATGGTACTGTTTTGACTTTCTCCGGCAGGGATGTTTGAATGAGTTAAATTAAGGATTAGGCTGAAACTGGAGGAGGGAAGAACATACGGAGTGAGAAGCAGATCCTATGATTTTTGATGTTTTAGACATCAAGATGATAGTCTGTCTAGACTGTTGGATTTACAAATGTTGGTTATTTTTTTTTTTTTTTTTGCTGTGTACCAGAATGTTCTTAATAGGCATCTGTTAAAGTCTCTCACATGTAACAGTACCTCTCACTTTTGGAGAGAAAAGCACAGGAGTATTTTCTTTTGTAGTTTTCTTTATTTTGGTGGAGCATATTCGAGCATAGTATAAACCTCCGCCCATTCTGGAGCTGTTAAGGAACAGCTCAGTTCCACTGAAATCAGTGAAGATAGGCCAGTTTATGCTTCGTTTTGATTAAAAAATATGTTGTTGCTGAATATAAAAAATACAGCTCCATTGTACAGAAATTCCTATTTTTTTATACACGTATTAAAATGTTTTCTCAGTTGTAATGCCTATGATGCATACTATGTGACAGAAAACCCAGCCAGTTTTTTGCTTGTTTACACTTAACACTCACTGAAAGTTTATACACCTTCCAGGTTTTGAAAACAATTAATTTTATGATCTGAGGACGGGCAAATGAACAAGGGCTTTGTTTAGTTTAGCAGTATTGGAACTGATGAAACACTTCTCGTGTTATAAGATTAAACATATTACCCATATTTATGCAATTTCTTTTTTTTAAGACTTTGTCATTCAAATAAGAGTGTATTTGGGTGTTAATAGTGCACAGTGTTAAAATTAAACATGGTGGAATACAGCAGTGCGTTACTGAGTAATTGAGTCCCTATCACTGTTGATCTAAGGCCAAATGCGGAGTTATGACTTCTGTCAGTAGTGTGAGGAATAAGCCCTTGCCGATGTTTTCTTGAATATTTATCATTTTAAAGTAAAAATTATTTTAAAAAATGGAGCTTTTAAAATTCATATTAAGCTAGCAGAAAGTATTTATCTATTATTGCAGCCTCTGAATTAGTTTGAAAATTTATGCCCAAAGCGTAGAAAGCATATTGCAGTTAAAGCTCACGAGTGTGGACACTCTGAAAATATGGTTTTGTGTTTGGTTGTTGCTAAATGCGCTGGTTATTGAAACTCCTTTTAAGATGGCTTGCCGTTGATATTAATTAGCTTTTTAAAAAGGATGTCCACCAGATATATTTTTCCCCCACCGTATGTGTACAAGCTGTGGAAGATGAAGTAATGCTCTGTAGCAAGTGTGGTATATAACTGTTAAGTATTTAATTTGTAAAGCAAAGCTTTCAGGTCCTGTACTGGTGCAAGATCACTTGGTGTTTAATCATTTTAAGCTGTGCTGCAAATTAAGTGAACCTTTCAGCCTACAGCAGAGCATTCTTGTAAATGAAAGTTTCTGCTGGTGTAGCTGCCTCTACTTGACCTATGGTGATTCACACTAGCTGAGAATTTGTCCATTTTGGAAGTAGCCTTTTGCATTCCATGATACTTTTTGTAATTATTTTTTGAAGATCCTCTGAGTATTCAAGCCTCAAACTTAGGACACTGTAGGGCCACAGAGTTAATGCAGCTGTCAGGGCCAGGAAGTGCAGACGCTGCGGATTGGCCCGAGATTCTCCAGCATCATGCTTACTCTGCAGTACAGCTCTACCCACAAACCCTTTCTCCAGTTCGTGCATTCCTTGGTTTTCTGAGATGTCCAGCACTACTGTGAAACATTTAGCTTTGTAGGTGAAGAAATTGAGTTCCAGTACAGTTTTTCCGTATTAGCAGGTGGTGGTAGATTGGGGTTTTTTTTTCATACTTTGAGTGCAATTGTATGTAGTTTACCTTTTCTCCCCTCTCTCCCCCACCCACTGGGGATTTTTTCTGTGTCCCATGTATGCTAACATTGGAGTTCTGGATTTATCAAATACCACATGTGCTCTGAGGTTGTGCTTCATAGAACAGGTAAGAGAGGTGGGATCTTGCTGGTTTGAAACCAGCTCAGGATGGAAGTAAAAAAGACTTACTGGTGCTGCTCTTAGCCTTTTTGAGATGTGTTGACAGCCAGAGTCTGATTCCTATTGGACAGGGTTCCTTGCTGCTAAAAGAGTTACAGCTGGTGCTCATAACCATTGCTCCATGTGTTCATTTAGCATAGAGGTCAAAAATGAATAGGAGTGAAAACTGAACTTCCTTCTTCCCCTCCAGGTCACTGTTTAGAGAGATTATGGGCATTTTAAAAATGCTCACGTTACTGAACCTTCTGAGCTGTTGTCTGAAGAGGGAATTTATTCTCTGTTTCTACTTTAGAAATTATTTTCTGGAGTGAAAAACGAAGGATTGTGTGCAAAACAAAGAGCAATTTTATATGTCAGCTAAAGCATTCCTCCATACCAAGGATCTGGGTAATTTGTGGGGGTTTGTTTTGAAGACCAAGGAAAATCAACAATAATATCTCAGGAACAATAATTTCACTGAGCTGGGTAATGATTGATTTTTTGAGTAAGAACTGGCTTATATGCCTGTTGAATACATATGAGGGCACAAATAATAGTGCACGAGTCCTGAGCTATATAGTACAGTGTATGCAAATGAGTATTACACAAAGGTAGGATTTCACAAAAACTATTCTTTTGAAATTGTCCTATTTGCTTTTTAAAAAGCAGTCCTTGAGCTGAAATACAATAATATTTTTTTCATGACAGTCTTGCTTTGATTTTCTGTTTTTAAACAGGAGACTGAGAGCTCACAGAATTGTTAGGATGTGGTGGTCTGTGTAACACAAAATTGGCATGTTACGTCACTTTTGTTCACGGTGCTTCGCAAAGTATTTGCTCTGTCAAAACAGAACCTTGTACAAAACGTGTGGCACCTGTGTTATTCCCGATGGGTCGGAAACTTCACTGTGTCCTACCTGTGAGCTCTGCTAGGCTCTTTGGTCTTTACATAATCTATAGAAGTAATGACTTTTAGAAGACAAGCTATAGTGTTGAAGTTAGCAGATGGTATTGAGTTTCATACTGTTAAAAAGCCAAGGCGCCACAGCTGTACAGCCCCTGTTATTTTCCCTCAAATATTTTTCTCTGGGGGTATCTTTTTCAAGACTCAGTTGTGACTGAATTTTCAAAACCTGGTTTTTGACTATTTAAATCACCAGGTTTATTTCTACTGCTGGAAACTAAAATTTCTGACTTCTTACAACAGTCACCGCTTCAGTAGGCAAGAGACAGGTTTAAAATCGAATGTGTCATGGCTGCCGGTTGAGCAGAAGCTCTTAGCTCTCTCATTTCCTTTGGAAAGCTGTTGTGAACACTTTAAAGGTGTTTCAGGAAGAGATTGATGTTGCCTCCATTTTAAAAATGCAGAAGCATCTGAGCTAATAAGGAAGCATTGGTTTTAGCAATTCAGATGAGAACTCTTTTCTACAAGACAAGTCTTCCCACATTACTCTTGATAGCTTTTCAAAGTGAACTACCAGCTGACATGGTAGCTATTAGCAATAGGAAGTTGGGTTTTTGTTTTGAAGTTGGATTTTTGCTGGTATATAATATGCTGCGCCTGCACTGCATTACACATGCTCAGATCAGGCTGGCACTAAAGTACTCAGGTGTCAGTTGAATAAAATCTTTTCTTCTTGTAAGAGAACCCAACTCCTCCAGTTGTTACTCAAAAAACCAGTTTGTTTACTCCTCTTCTCAAAGTTCACCTCCTGAAGTAGTGCAAATATCTGATATTTTGGTCTCTTTAGAGCATAGAAAAATTATTATTCTGAAAAATAAAATACATGCTTCGTACTTTACTTCGAAGTTTCCATTGATTTGTTGCAGCTGCATTTTGTGTTTACATTTTGGATCAACCCTATGAAAAACAGAGCAAACAGTAGCACTACCTGTGACAGCTTGGTCTTTGGTATTAGTTCATCTTGAGGCAGGAATTACTACCAGAAGGCAGCACACAATGCAATTCCTCCACAGCTACACTGTTATTTTTTTTTCTTGCACCTTCCCTCGCTGCCTTGCTCCTCAGAAACTAGGAATGTAGAAATTTCTGCAACAAGTGAATCAGGGATCCTGCAAATAATGCACCTCCGTTTTTCCAAGCACAGGACCATCTAGCACTATGGATAAGGTAGTGATCCCATGGAAAAAACCTAATAAATTACTAATTAAAAGGCCATTTCTAGCACGCACCTGGTCCTGCTTCACTTAATTTCACTGTAGTCTTCTGACTTGTAGTGCTCCTTTCTTTGTTTATTAACAGTTTTCAGTCATTAACAGCTCCCAGTACCAGTCCTTACTTACTTGGTATTATGCCTCTGCAATGCCTTTGCTGTCATGCCTTTCCAAACCAGCTGTAGACAACCCTGGATCCAGAATATCAGGATCAGGCCTTTCCATTAAACTTTGTGAGTCAAGGAGACATACTTGCCTCTTGGCTTTGATTGAGGCTATTTCTTCAGACCATTCCTTCTTGCCATAGAGATGTTTATTTTTCTCGTGCATGGCGTGATTCAGGTTCATTGACACAGGGCACAGATGTAACAAGTCCAGCTCTG